AGCGGGTGAGGGCACACACCGCCCCCGGCCCCAATGTCACAGAGAACCTGGTGGTGTTGGGACGGAGACTCCCCTGGTTAAAGCTGTGAGCGTTTCCTTGGCACTCGGTTGAATTCTGCCTAAGGGCAGCACAGTATCGGTCTTTCTATTGCATTTGGGTCTCCATTTTTTTCACTTGTGGAGGGTCCTAGCACTTATTGGAGTTGCTGGCCTTTGGGTGTAAATCTGTGAGGAAAAAGTTTATTTAGTTTTATTTTACCAACTTGCCACAAATAGTAGTGGGCAACCCATGGGCCTGAAGGTAACAGACTGAAAAATCAGTTTTATAGACTGTTGTTGTTAAAAAGCATCAGCTGCAGCATTTGAGACCTCTCATTGCTTGGGAAGGTGACTTAAGTCTCTTGACGCTGATCTGGAACAGAATCTAAACGTGCTGTGCTACTTAACAGCTATTATGAAGATAATAAATTCATGAAAACTGGCCAATGGTGTTGTTTTCTGTGAGCAACAGTTTAAGGATCATTTCTATGATTTAAAGAGATGGTCAGACGATTTAAGTGCTGGATCTGAAGACTAGTTTGGAAGGAGTAGGTTTTCCTGGTAATGAAAAAAAAGTTTTTAAGCTAGTGCTAGAGCCTTGGAGAAATACTTAAATAATCTTTTGCATTTCTTCTTATTGCTCCCTCCATGTAATACAGAATGAGGTTTGATGGGGTTTTTAGCTGGGTTTTTTTTTCCTTGTAAGTCATGTACTTTTTTTTTTGTTTATTACTGAAGACCAGAACCATTACAGGTATGGAAATGGTGGAAATGGGAGTGGAATGGAAAATGAGAATTGAAATTAACTTTAAATCCTTGATTGAGTGAGAGGAGAGGAAGGAGTTGCTCTGAGTTCTTGGACTAGCCTAAAAGAGAGCTTGCAATTTCCAGCATGCCCTGTGCTCCCTCTGTGCCTTTGACCCCGTCATTCACATTTCATGCGTCTCTCTTTGTGTTCTTGGTGTCTGTTGTTGCTTTAAAATTTCTGCCTTCTTACTGACTTGGTTTCTTTGCCTTTTCTCCCAAGCTAGTTTCAAAAGCGTGCTGTTTCTTTCTAATATTTTTCGTTCAAAAGATCCGTGCTGTCTGCCACTTCCCACTCCTCATCGTCTGCTTGCTCGCAGCAAGGTTGTCTCTGGCAAAGGCAGCCAGGAGGCAGCTTTCCAGCAGGACGAGATTGCTCTTAGTTGCAGGGAGCCCTGCGGTGAGAAAGGGGTTTCGTTCTTGGGAGAAGGAAGCATGGACTGCTTTCTCAGTTGGAGCACATGCTCAGAGTTCTTTGCCTGCCTCATCCTGGGAAGTGGTCAGGACTGTGTTTCAGAGGAAATACAGAACTGGAGGGACGTTGCAGATTAAAATGCCGTGCTGTGGGACAATTGCTAGAAGAACAGGAGAGCAGTTACCTGGGGGTGGCCGCCTTGTCTGACGCAGAGGTTTGTGTTTCAGTAGGGATTATAATGAGGTATAATAACACTGCACTGATGCAGCATAATGAAACTCCGAGTGTTCCTGTACCTGGGTGCCAGAGCTGCTAGCTGGGGTTTGTAAGAGCAGTCTTCCAGTGCAGCCGCTACAAGCTCTCCTTGGCTTCTCCTCAATATCTTCTCTCTACCACAGCTTGTGCAATTTTGCTTACTCTGCTCCAGTAGTGCACAGGGATGGATTGAGAACAAGTAAAGGGAGCAAAATTTTGTACAAGGGGCGGGAGAGGTTTCATGGCTTAAGCACGGTATGGGAGAAATGGATTCTTGTTAATCTCTGCTGTTTCTTTGTGATTCTAGGTGTGTTACTCCAACTAGACCCGTCAAAGAAAATTGTTAATTGTGTATCCTTTGTCTGCTGGGCACTTGCTCCAGCGGATTTTGAGTTAGAGGAATCCTGAGTGCTTAGAAGTTCAGTCAAGGCAAACTAATGCCAAATACACTGGAAACTGGTGTCCTTACTTGTAACAGTTAACAGTTAACATCTTGTCGTTTGGTAGTGCTCGGGGAAAAGCGATCGGCATATCTTCTATATTGTGGAGGGCTGAGACTCGTGAGAGACAAAGTAAATGGTTCTTTGTGGGGTGTGCAGAGAAAGCTGGATGATTCAGCCTCTCTGCGTTTTGTTTGGTTGGTTGTTTTTCTTCCAGGCTTCTCTGTGGACAGAGTTATGACTTTTCCCCATTGTGGGTGCACTCATTGGTAGTCTTCCCTTCTTTCAAAGCCGTTTTTTGTTTTTATTCTTTAATAGTAATCTTTTGCCAGCAGGTAGGGAACAGGGGTCTTCAGTTCTTCCAAGTCGCAGTCTGAGGATTCTGCAAAACAGAGACAGTGGGCTGTCTGTCTCTTGGGGAAGGAAATTGTACAAGAGTGTACAGGACAAAGAGAAGGTGGGGTGGGGGGTGAGTGAGGAAAGAAATATAGATGGAAATTTGCCGATATTTAACCAGTTTTTCCCTCTCCTCCCTTCCTTTTAACTTGCAGGTATCCTTGATTTGCAGAAGGCATCTCAGAATGTTGTGTCGAGCTGCTTTGAGCCCTCGTGTCCGTTCCTCTGGATGGTGTTTTATGTTATCGACACGTGCCATCGCAGCTGTTCCCCGTTTATGTATGTATGAGGGAAAGCACATGTTTCTAATACTGTTGGACAGTATGTGTCTGGGCATGCCTGTGCTCTTTCCTGTGTTGAAAGGAAAATCACCTCATTAGCATAATTCAAAGTTTAGAGCCTCTGGATTGCGCCGCAATTGCAGCTCTACTTTCCTATGTTACTTTCTGCATTAACTCAATAGTATTCAGCTGGGTGTCTGAGAGGGTGTATTTTTCATTCTGATGTGTATTTCGAGCAGAAGAATCAATTGTGAAAGTATTGCTACTGTAAAAGTTCTTTATGTCAACCTCATATGTTCTTGGTAAACAAGATCTGATTATACCGGCTCCCCATCTGCTTTCTTAGCTCACACGTGTCTTAGTTAAAACAAGGTGTGAAGCTCAAATGTATTCAGATTTGATAAAAGTGGAAAGATGTTTGCGGGAAACCTGAGTGTGAATATATAGATGCACTGTCAATAGTTGTTCCATGAAAATGTAACTTGAGGGAACCATTCACTTTCTGTCTGGTTCGTGGTCTGAAATAGAGAAGGCAAGGGTGGATAGACCTATTAGATCAAGAGATTAACTGTTTACCAGTGCAGGCAAGATTAATTTCTCATTGGTCTGTGTGTTAACAGTTCTCTTTTGTTGGTATTTATATGAATTAATGAATGTTGACATCTTGAAAATGCTAAACTTGTTTTTTTCTGGACTATAGATTGCTGACTTCTGCATTTGTTGTATTCATAAATATTTCATGTTTTCCAAAATCAGAGAACTACTCACAGTTAACACTGTGAACATTTTCCCTAGTATTGGCAGTAGTCAGTACCCAGTATTGAAGCGGCTCTGCCTGCTTCATCAGTTGCATTCGAAAGCTGTACTGAGGGTTTATCACAGGTTTCTTTTGTTCTCCACTGTTTCTTTTGTCCCGTTCAGCTCGTGTGTATTTTGAAATTCTGCTTCATTACTCTTGAGAAGCAAGTGTCATGCAGCTTACATAAATGGATCTACGGTGCCAAACACCTACGTTTCTTTCATGTATTTCCCCTTTATTAAGGAAGTGAAACTCTTCACCAGGTACTAGATATAAAAAACTTTAATGCCTAGAAACATATTTGTCCAAGAAGTTGACTGGATGGCTATATCAGATTCTCACTACTTGCATATGAAGCAAGTTAATGGGCTTGCATCACCAGAAATGCTTTGCATATGTGATGTGGGAGCTGATCCCACGTCTCGGCTCAGTCTTTGAGCCCTGCCATCCAGCTGGTTCTTCACCCAGCACACTGTGCACCGGCTCATCTCCGAGCTGGACAGCTTGTCCAGACAGATGCTATGGGGAACATTATTGAAAGCTTTACTAAAATCCAGAAAAACTACACCTACTGTCTTCCCTTCGTCCGCTAGACAGGTGTCCTGACAAGAACAACTAGAAGAAGAATAAGGAAATGTGTGGTTTTATTCAAATAGTATGGCTTATCCTTATTCTATTAATTATCCAGTTGACACCCTTGGACTGCAGGTATTCATATCTGCATGACGACTCCTTCAGACACAATTCACTGTGGCTCTGCAGAACTTCATGTGAAGTATGTTTAAAGTGCTTTCCATCTGCCTTCAGTCCTTCAGCTTAACCTCAGGACTTTGTGTTTGAGTCCACCTCTTTGTCAGTTAGAAAAGATCTAGACCGTTCCTTGTGCTTGTACCTTAACAGTAACTATTCTCTTTAATGTGCTGTGCTGACAGCAGTCTTGCTGTCTCCTGCGGGCATTTTGAAAAGAGGTTTTGTTGAGAAATGTTCCCTAGCTCTTTGACTTGGGCAGAGCGCCAACCGCACGTATCTTCTGTCTTACCTGAGCAAAGCTGTGACTGTCCCTTCTCCCTCCGACACCTCTTTATCCGGTAGGAAGGAGACTTTCAGGTTGTCTGTCATCCCCCTTCTGCTGTCCCTAGTTAAGCAACATGCAAAAATACTCAGCTTGGAGATGCTGTAGGAGCTGTGTTTCTTTTCTTGTCTCAAGCTTTCTGCACTAATACACATGGGAAAGCTCTCTGGCTGTATCTAATGAAGCGAGGCAAAGGAGGTTGCTTTTAAAACTAGTTGTTTTACTTCTGATGTGAGCCATATATGGCTTTTACAGTGTCCTTCATTTTGCTCTTCTAGATTGTCAGAGTCGAAGCTCAGTGACACAGGCAACGTTGCCTTATATGCCTGAGGGTGGTTAGTGCTGCTGCGCTGTTATTGGTCCTCACTTTACTGTGGTGACTTCAAAGCTGGCTTCTCATTCCCAGTCACTGAGAAATGTGTATTGGGAGCTTTAGCCTCAGAAAGGGAGGAAATGTTACATGAGTTCAGGGGCTGAAAGTCTGAATGAAACACTTAAAACTACTTCCCCCCCTTTCTTTCTTTAACCACAGATGTCCCTCGCCACAACCCAAGATTAAGGAATGAATCCATCCGGTTTTGGAGCAACATCCCGTTTATCACCATGCCACTCAGCCGTGCCCATGGGAAGTCGTTTGCACACCGCAGTGAGCTGAAGCACGCCAAGCGCATCGTGGTGAAGCTGGGCAGCGCCGTTGTGACTCGCGGCGATGAGTGTGGCCTGGCTCTGGGGAGACTGGCATCTATTGTGGAGCAGGTAGTTCTGGCTGGAGTGGAGGGTTTGTTTTAACTTCAGGTACTCGGCGATTGTTGGATGGCACAGATCATTGTAGGAAAACCTCATCAAACAGTGATGGCCCTTTAAAGCAATGCCTGGACCTTTCACTTGTTCATCCGCTGTGCTGTGGTAGCGTAAATGCTGTAACTCAGTAAGTCTGTATTTGAAGGTGTGGTGAGTTAACTTGTTGGCTCCCCACGCCTCAGCCCCACCACCAGCTGGACTACGAAGAAAATGAAGAGAACAAAAGGAAGAAAACTCAGAGGCTGAAATAAAGGCAGTTTAATAAGTGAAGGAAAAGGGAAAAGAAACGAATGATGTTAATCGCTTGCTACCTTGCACAAGCAGACCAATGCCCAGATAGTCCCCGAGTGATGGCAGCCGTACCCTTTCCTATTCTGCTACCCGAGTTTTATTACTGAGCACGATGTTACGTGATATGGAATGTCCTTCTGGCCAGATCATGCCAGATGTGTCCTCTCCAAAATTCTTGCCCAGCCCCTAGCCTACCTACTCTGATGGGAAAGAATAAGCCTTGATGATGTGCAAGTACTGCTCAGCATGGGAAAAAGAGAATGTTTTGATGCTGTTTGAGCACTACTTAGCAATAAGCAAAACATCAGAATGTTACCAGCACTGTTTTAGTCCTGCAGTCCAAAACACAGCACCATATGAGCCCCTGTGAAGAAAGTTAAGTTCTCGACTGGACCCAGTGTAGAGGGAGAGGTTTGCACAGTCAGATTTTTATGCAGTAAGTAAGACTTGACTGGGGCATTCACTGGATCTGGAGGGAAGGTGGCACGAGTTTGTGAAGTCTGCAGAGAGTAGACCCTTGATTACCTGAGCATTTGCATGTTTCCTCCAGGAGAAAGCTTGAAACCTCGTTACTTGTAGGAGAAACTGATGGGATCAGCTCGTGGATTTGTTCTCCAAAATGAAATTATGACTTGGGAGGCAGGGGAATTGGACATGCCTTCTCTGGGAAGTAAAGTTAACATAATAATTAGATTCATGTAAGGCATTTAGCTTTAGAGCTTTGAAAGGAATCTGGCCAGATGCACGTAAGGAAGAAGTAATTAAAAACTGTACTATCACAGCATCTTCACTTGTAGTATTCAAAGTTACTGTGTAATGGCAGCTTTGGGAATGGATGGTGAATAAGAAGGTTGATGGAAGGTACAGCTGCTGCTTAACAACTTTTTCATATCTTATCTTTCCTTATCTGTAGCAATGGAGGGGGAGGGGTGAGGGGTATAGAAGTGTTGCCATGTAATACGGATTGTGAAAGTTCAGGCATGACTGTCATAAAAACTGGTATTGTGAAAAGAAAGTTTAGCAGAAGCTGTAGGTTGCGTGCAGTCCTCTGCATAGCTCCGAAATGTCTAGCAAGCTGCGCCTCTCTGAGCTAAAGAGCGAATTCTGTTCAGTCAGTAGAGAGCATCTGTCCTTCGTTTAGTGACTGTCTTGCCCCTAACCCTTGACAAAAGGTGTGCAAGAGTGTCTTAGAGGGTGTTTGCTTTGCTTTGTGCATCGTTGGGTAAAACACAACACTTATGTCCACACGAACTGGCGAGCATAAGGTACCTATGATAGCCAGAACTGTCATGCTAGCAGTGATTGTTCTTCAGGCCCCATTTCTCACGTTCTGAACTTACAGGTGTCAATGCTGCAAAATCAGGGCCGAGAGATGATGATTGTCACCAGTGGTGCTGTAGCATTTGGAAAGCAGCGGTTGCGTCACGAGATCTTGCTTTCTCAGAGTGTGAGGCAAGCACTTCATTCAGGACAGAGTCAGCTAAAAGATATGGTGAGTGGCTGGCAACAGTCCTGCTTGTCCTTGAATTCTGGTGCTGCCTGCTCCAGCCACTGTCTGGAGCTTTTCTTTATCTTTGTAGGCTCTTCCAGTCCTGGAGGCTCGAGCCTGTGCAGCAGCTGGCCAGAGTGGACTAATGGCTCTGTATGAGGCGATGTTTACGCAGTACAGCATCTGTGCAGCTCAGGTAAGGGATTCCTTCTTTCCCAGACTGACTTGTGACTTCAGTCAGTGATGGAATTGCTCCTGCATTTTTTCCCATGTCTTACATGCTGCTGTCTTTACTGTAGCCTTGAATTTATGTTGCCATCCTACTTTGGGGGCTGCTTAGTGTAGCATAAATGGCAGCTGTCTGGGAAGTGCCTTGCTGAGTGCTTCTGAAATGGAATGCTGAAGTTGGTGATCCAAAGTTCTAAAGCGAGGATTTAAAAATCACAAGTGGCTGAACTGTCACACGTCCTGTAAAGAGATATGTGCACTGGCAGAAGCATATATCCACACTTCAGAACTTGCTGTCCATCTGCTCTTCTAACCTTTTCTAACTTGTGGGTGGTGGTATCCCTAGCCTGAGTCTTCTGCCTATACTGAATGCTGCAACTGTACTAACTGACCTGCTCTTAAATAGGCTTTGCTTCTCTTAGATACTCTGAGAATACAGGATTACATCAACTGTAAGGCCTTATTTGTTTAGATACTTTTAATATATTTAGGAGCCTAGTAGGAAATCTCACTTGGAACTTCTACCTGCAATACAGTATAGCTGACATCACTAAAATGTTTAGAGTTTGGCTAACAATCACTGTAGGTTGTGGTTGTTCAAGTCTGTAGACAATGATTCTTCAATTTAAAGGAATTAATTGCCCACACCAAAGGAGTCAGTGTGCTCAAGTGCTATTGTAACGTTTATCGGGTAGAATTGTTTGCTTAGTTCTCAAATGTCAAATGGGCAGAGTAAAAATGAAAAAAAAAAAAAGCCTTTTCAGAGCAGACACTGAGTTATTTTGTCTTAAAATACCAAAAAGAAAGGAGCCATGTCTGCATGCAAAAAGCTTTAAGACCAAGATTCTTTCAGAAAAGCGAGCGAGTTCTAGAGCTGAAGAGAGGCCTTGAGGCATCCCTTCTGCTTGCGGCAGTAGAAACACTACGCTGGGAGGGAAAATGGGAAAGGTGGTGTCTTCGGTTACCTGTCAAATTGTTCAGGGTCTCAGTAGTTATCAGCACCGATGTTCTGCGTATGTTTTTTTTGTCCAAGTTGGTTCCTGGAGCCCATGATCTGTCAGTTTGAGAAAAGCCATTATAGACTTCAGTGGAAGTAAAGGCATATAAACCTGAAAATGTTGTGGAAAGAATATTTCTCACTTGTATTCTTTATCCATTAAATGTGGCGAATGTTTCTTTAGTCACCCAAAGGGCATGACTCATCTGTTACTATACGTTAAAACATACGTTTATGATGATCTTTTCGGAGAAGTGGTAGGCTAAGTATACGTATTAATTTCCTCCCTTTAGATTTTAGTCACCAACCTGGATTTCCATGATGAACAGAAGCGTCGGAACTTGAATGGAACGTTGCATGAACTTTTAAGAATGAACATTGTCCCAATAATTAACACTAATGATGCTGTTGTTCCACCTCCAGAGCCGAACAGTGACCTGCAGGGGGTAAATGTGGGTAAAGTATTGCAAGGGGGTGGTTTGTAGATGGTACAGTGCAAACGTGTGCTTCGCTAATGCCAGAACTGGGGGCCTCCAAAGCTTGCAGTAGGGAAACATACAAAATTAGCAACTTGGACAGAGGGTGCTGGAGGACTCAAAAGCAAGCATGTCCACTTTGGTTTTCTCTGACTAGTTGAAGTTGGAAGGCATGTCAGCAGGTCATCTAGTTGGGCCTGCCCAGGTGTCGGTTAGTACCTCGGCCTGTCGCTGGGTGTGGAGGTGGGGAGTGCAGGTGCTGCTCATGCTGCTTGTCATTTTGATACCAAAAAGCCTATGTACTTTCATGTAAAGATCAACACCGAAGTTTCCAACAGGTGTGAACAAAGTAGCTCGGAAGGGCTTGGTAGTGCCGAGGCAGCTTGCTTTTGTATGTTGCAGCCAAATATTTCCTAGTTCTTCCTGCTCGTCAGTGCTGCTGATGTGCATGTGCATTGCAGGTGATTAGTGTGAAGGATAACGACAGTCTAGCAGCACGACTGGCTGTGGAAATGAAAACTGATCTCCTCATTGTTCTCTCAGATGTAGAAGGTTTGTGAGTCATTTCTTTACTGTCTTGTTCTATTGAAGTACATCAGATATTGGGGTTTTGCTGATCTCTTCAGTTCCTATCTTTTACAGGACCAATACAATGTACCCTGTAACTCCTTAAGGCGTACACCCAGTGCTGATGTTGTTGCATAAGCCAGAGACTGTCGGCCACACTGCTGAGTCTGGGAGGGTGAGCATGCATGTGTGTGGGCGAAAACAGCCAGGAACAGCCACAAGCCACAGCTGAAATGCAAAGAGTAAATTTATTCTTGTTACCTGAGGATCTTTGCAGCAGCACCTGGGCAGGGGCACACAGGCAGTGATCGCGTGAGCAGCAGCAGTGCAGGCCTGAGGAGATCTTCCTGCGCTCGAAAGCGTGTGGCATTGAACCCGCTGCTTTGCTGTATTTTACCCGCTGCTCCGAGTTCCCAGGACTCTCAGGACAGCCATGCTTTGTTCCTGCCACAGCAGGGCAGGGATGCGAGGTGCCCCTGCATCTACCCCAGGCCTCGGTTATCTCAGCGTGGGCGTGCTGCTGGTGGAGCACCTGAAGCCAGCAGTAACCGAGTGCCATGTGTGTGTCTTCCAGCAGCCCAGCTGCAAGTCACCTGAGCATACCGACAGCCCTCCTTGCCCATCTGCTGTTATATTCCCACAGCATGTAAACCTGAGACTTGTTCCAGAACCTAGAATGCCATGTGTAGTATGATACTTCTACTAACTTCCCAGAATTGGATGATACTGTTCTGAGTTTTATGCAGAATGAAAGTTATGTGTTTGTAATCAAAAGGATAAGCCAAATACTGTTCTAAAATAGTCTCTTTCTTCTGGGAGAAGCTTCTGTATTTCAGAATTACAGGGACATTACAAGGTCATTGCCTTCCAGATACCTTGAACTTGCTAGCTTTTTCCATCTCCCAGACATTTGGCTTACACTGCTCTGGTCTTCTGGGCTGTGCTGCTGTGACATAAGTCTGTCACCTGTGGATGTTGAAGTTCCTTTTGTAGAGAGAGGAGAGTAATGGGTGCAGTTTCACATCAGTGCAGTCCACATCACCCAGGTTGCGTAACCTTTTCATCTTCTCCAGGTGGATTTCTTTCAGTAGGTCCCAGACTTTGGCGTATATTGTAGGCCCTGAGGAGGAAGGAGATGCCTTTCCATAAACATCTTTTAGCCGGTTCAGCTGGATTTCATGGTTGATTCTAGGTGATATGACTATCTGAGAACAACTCATAAAAGCAGTAGTCAAAATAACATGTGAAAAAAAATTATCAACCAACGCTGATCCTCCAAGCATATTCATTCAATGTGACATCTTGTTTATGGAAAGATATGTGTCCCCTCCTTCCTGAGCTGTCAAGGAAGGACACAGGTAGTCTGCGCTTGTGCTCTCTAATGTGTAGTGCCAGTATTTGCTCAGATGAAAAAACAACTAGGAAATGTGGTAGTAGAGTTTAGGTTTAACATGTTAGGTAAACCAAAGTGTCATTCGACTCCAAACATAGTTACATAAAATTATCAGATTTTTTTTTTTAAATGATAAAAGTATGTCTCTGTAATATTGTGTTCCTTCTTGGTGCAAATTGATATTTACCCTTTTTTGGATTTCTGAATTGCTCAGTTTATCATTGTACAACCCAGCATTCACCAGTACCATCTTTGATTTCAGCGACGAGGACTATACTTCACCTGTTTATTTGTAGGCTTCTATATGTAAGCCCTGATTTTGAACATACAAAAGCTGTAAACTTTCCGTAACCTGAACTAAATGTTACTACCTCCCAGCCTGTGCACTGCTGTTTGTTATGTGGGTTTTTTGTTTCGTATTCATAATGCTTTCAGTAAAGCTGCACTTCTTGAATCTGCCTGTTAAGTGTTTCATGATTTCAGTCCCACAAAAAGCAAGAATCTTGGAAAGCTTTCTATTGTGTAAAATGGAATAAAGCTTTTCAGCTTCATGGATTTTTTTCTGTTTTCACTGATGAGCTTTGGAGATGGAGTCATGTAACCCTAACAGATTTTTATTATTTATTTCAGGACTCTTTGACAGCCCTCCCGGATCTGATGATGCAAAACTCATTGACATATTCTACCCAGGAGACCAACAGTCTGTAACATTTGGAACCAAATCTCGAGTGGGAATGGGAGGCATGGAAGCCAAGGTAGAAATATGGAACATTTATTTTGTTATTGGGGAGGAAAGGGAGATGTTGGAAGCAGAGCTAGATGACTGTGCTGCTGTTCAGGTGGATCTTGACAGACTGCAGGAATGGGCAGACAGGAACCTGATGGAGTTCAGTAACGGGAAACACAGGTTGCTGCTCCTAGGGAGGAACAACTCCTTTCACTGGTAGGGGCTGAGGAGTTGACTAGAAAGCAGGTTTACTGAAAAGGACATAGGAGTCCTGGTAGACACCAAGTGGAATGTGAGCCAGCAATATGACCTTTGGTATAAAGAGGCCAGTGAGTTGCGTTAGAAGGACCATAGCCAGCAGGCTGAGGGAGGTGATTATTTCCCTCTACTTAGCACTAATGAGACCACGTCTTTAGAGTTGTGTCTGGTTCTGGACATGTCAGTAGGAGGAGGACATGGCAAACTACAGGGAATCCAATGGAGAGCCATGAATATGGTTAAAGAGTCAGAGCATCTGTCATGCTAGGAGAGGCTGAGAGGCAGGGCTGTTTGCACAGGCTAAGAGAAGGTTCATGTGTAAACACCTGAAGGCTGGGTCTGAAGAAGACTGAGCCAGACTCTTCTCCCTGGTATCCGGGGAACAGACAAGAGGCAATGGGCACAGACTGGAACACAAGAAATTAAATTGAAATGTAAGAATTTTACAGTGAGCTTGCTGAAGCAAGGAGGAGGTTGCCGAGAGAGCTTGTGGGATCTCAACATTTCACAGAATCACAGAATCATCCAGGTTG